TGAATTTGAACTTCCTATTGTGCTGTGGGTGCGAAAGCTGTGTGATGGGGATTCAGTGTGATCTCCTCCCCTATACCAGCTTCTCACACTTAGTGGCTCTTAGAGTCTCTTGTCCATTTCCACTCAAGGCTATTTTTAAGCGCTAGATGCAGTGTGCTGGGCATGATTGTAGTTGATAGGGGTCATATGCCAAGAGTTGTTCTCTTTTCTTTTCTAGCACAAAGCCTTATCCTGGGGTGTTTGCACCTGTTATTGGCAGGTGCTTGCATCTAGTGTGTTCAAGCATTTCTTTTTGTTTTAGTCCTGGTGGGAGAGGTGACAGGTGTTTTGAATATCTTAGCCTGGGCTTCCAGTAGCAGCCTCTTCTATGAGGAGACCCAGGTGCTTTGTTCTGCTTTTTCCTGCTGATTCTGGCACCAGGTGTTCTATGCTATACTCAGGTTCAAGTCACTAATCCTTGCTCTGTTCTCCCAATCCAGCAGCTCTCCAACAGTGCATCCTCCATCCTTACTGCCAATTTATGCACATCCTTATCCAGTTCAGGGTGGGTCTCATCGGTCCCTAATATTGGGGTGTGCCCAAGTCAACAACCATAGGCAGAGCACACACTCCTCCATTGTGGGGTCTACTGTCCCATTATAACTATAAATAAAGTTATCTTAAAAATGTTCCTATCCCTTTCTGGCCCATAAGCTGCTTCTAGTGTGTGTTGTGGTCATCCAGTTCCCCCCTCAGGGTTTTATTGGCTTTGTTTTACTGTAACCTAATTGTGAGTATCTGGATGAGGTGAACCCAGTGTCTTTATTTTGTTACCATCTGCCTGACTCCCTGTATTATATTTTCATTTTAATGATAGGGTTTTTTTTTTTTTTTCCACATAGAAGATTTTTAGTTTGGTGTAATTCCATTTGTTTATTTTTGCTAATGTTTCCTTTGTCATCAACATGTAATCCCCAAAAACATGTCTGAAGTCAATGTTATTGAGGGTTTTGCCTATGTTTTCTTCAATTTATTTTATATACTTTCAGGTCTTATATCCAAGTCTATAATCCATTTTGAGTTAAATTTTGTGTTGAATAATGGTCTAGTTTTACTCTTTTATATGTGGTTGTCTAGTTTCCTCAGCACCATTTATTGAAGAGATCTTCCTTCCTCCATTGTGTACTTTTGATTCCTCTTTAGAGTGATTGTCCAAATATGTATGTGTTACTATTCCTTTGTATTGTAATTTGAAGTCTGGAAAGATCAACTCTCCTAGAAATTTTGAAGTTCACAGTGTGGTATTGTCTATGATCACTATGCTGTGCAGCAGCTCTCCAGAACTTATCTACTCATTGCAAAAATGTAGCCTTAATAAATATCTTCCAATGGCCCCGTCTTGGGTAATTGCCATTCTACTCTCTGTTTTTGTTAGCTTGACTTTTTTGGATTCCAAATATCATTGATGACATATAGTATTTCTTTTTTTTGGCTGACATATTTCACTTAGTATAAGGCCCTTTAGATCACTTTATATTGTCACAAATGGCAGGATAACTTCTCATTTCTAAATAAGCTTCCACTGGCTATACACACTATTTTTTTCTATTTGTCCATTAGCAGGCAATTAGGTTGTTTCTGTATCTTGTTTATTGTGAATAATGCTGCAATGAACAGAGCATTGCAGATATCTCTTTGGTATCCTGTTTTCATTTCCTTTGGATAAATACCCAGACGTGGAATTGCTGGATCATATAGTAGTTCTACTTTTTAATTTTTTTAAAAAGATTTATTTATTTATTTATATAAGCACTGGGTACAGTCAGAAGCGTGGGAGGGTGAGAGAATTCACCAGAGCCAGAGCAGGGAATAGAACAGGCAGACTGACAAAGTACACTGCTGAGGGGAACAGCAGGCACGGCAGGAGAGGTCTGCACACCATGTGGGACCCTCACCAGCTGCTGGGGATCGAACCGGCACTGCAGAGGTTGCAGGCAGCTTCACAGCCCAGTGCTCAACTGCTGCGCCACCGGGGGAGGCCCCTCTACTTTTAATGTTTTGAGAAACCTCCCTAACTTTTCCCAAGTTGATTGATCCAATTTACATCTGCAGCAACAGTGTACAAGTATTTCTTTATTTCTACATCCCACTTACATATGCTACCTCTTTTTTATTACTTAAATTTTATTTTTATATCCCCCATACAATTACAACCCCCTTATTTTGACCCCAACCCTCCTTTCCCTGCCACCCACCCCCTATAGAGTGTCTCTGGTTCATAGTTATTTGTCGATTTTGATATTTTCTTTCTTATAGTTATTCTTTTTCCTGGTTTCTTATTTAAGTTTTCTAGATTCCTGCTATGAGTGAGACCATTCGGTATTTTTTTTTTTTATGCTACCTCTTTTTGACAATAGTCTAACCAGTGTGAAATAGTCAACATATGTTTTAATAATACTTTTAATATTCATTTTTCTGACCTATAATCAATCATAGCATGAACTAGCTAAACAAGCATAGAGTTCAACTTTACATCTTATATGAGGCAAAACACTGACAAAAACACTGAGACCTATACCCACATATATAGTATTGTTTGTTCAATCGGGAACATTAGTATGCATCTCTTTACAAGAATTTTTATCTTTATTCCTAAACAAGTCAACATTTGTCATTATTTTACTTAAGTTTCCGTTTCTTTCTTATCTGTTTGATTTATTTAGAAACATGAAGACTTCCTGTTGATTCGTCAGCTCTTGGAGGGCATGCATCACATCCTTTATCTCACCATCCCCCCATGTCCACACCAGCTTTCACAGTTAGAGCTGCTCAATAAATTTTCTAAATACATAAATATGATTGTGTCTGTTTGTTTAGGATAGAGAGTTTAGACTTGATGATCTTAGAATTCTACTCAGGTTCTAATATTCCTAACAGAAAACATTTTAAACCTGTTATTTTATTCATCCATTAAATATTTAACAAACTTATAAAAAGGTTCTTTTAATTTAAGAAATAATATCAGGGCCTCCCTGGTGGCACAGTAGGTTGAGCACAGTGCTGTGAAGCTTTCTGCAGCCTTTGCAGCGCGGGTTCAATTCCCGGCCGGCTAGGGAGATACCCACATGGTGCAGCAGACCTCTCCTGTCTCACCTGCTCCTCCCCTCAGCAGTGCTTTCTATCTGTCTGCCTGTTCTGCTCTCTTCTCTGTCTATGGTGAATCCTCTCACCCTCCCACGCCTCTGGCCTGTACCCCAGCTCTTGAATAAATAAAAAAATCTTTTAAAAAAAAGAAATAATATCAAACATCATGGTCAGGGAGGACTGATTTTGAGAGCACTGGCTGTAGGGTCTGTGCTAACAATAAATCTTGACTCCATTATTACTGCTGATGACAAGGAGAAGTTTGAAATATGCCTACTTTATAGTGTTGCTGCATAGCATAAACAACAACAGCAATAATAGCAAAAAACATGGGTAATGCATTTTGAGTTCTTGCTATAGGCAGGGAACCTACTATACACTATATTATTCATTATATGTGTTGTAAGCCACACACAGTCACCCAATGACCAGAGCCATTATCCCACTTTGCAAGTGAAGCCAGAGAGGCACAGAATCTGTGCAACACCCCAGGTTTGAACAAATGGAGAGTGGAGAATAGAGGAGCAGATCTATGTAGAGAAAAATGAGGCCCTGCACATAGTAAGTGCAAATTAGGCTACAGGTGTGCAGGGAAGTTTTTGAATGCATTTAACAGGAACACATGTGATTGGTGAACATCAGCTCGGAGGAGCAGCTGTCACAGCAGTGGCAGGCAGGTGGCAGCTATAAGGGGCTGGGCAGGATACAAGTCCCAGTGAGCCAGGCAGAGTATCTTCCCTTGAAGGTCTTGCAGACTAATAGGAAAGAAAAACTTCTAGACCTAAATGATGGAATGTAGAAAAAAATCAAAGTGCTATCAGTGCACAAAAGAGTAATCTGTACTAGGGAGGAGGGTTGTTGGCACTGTTATAGGATGTGGCCTTCAGTGGTGCCTGGGAGGTTTTTGACAGATGACCAGGAAGGGCATCTCAGGCTAGGAGACTGTAAGGAAGTAGCAGAGAGTGTGGTGTGAGGATGGAATGATGATCACTTCAGTGGAGTGTGGCTTTTAGGAAATGAATGTGAGGGACCAACTTGCAAAGTTATGCAAGACTGCACTGTGGCAACCCCTGAATGTCATACTAAGGAGTTTGGACTTTATCCTGCAGGTAATGAGGATTTTAGTACCAGTGTGAATAGTATCTTGAGTACTTTCATGGAACGTCCTGCCCTGCCTTTGGCTAGATTGGAGCCACTGTAGCTATTGGCCTAGGATTTGAGCTAAACAAATGGGTGTAGTGTAGAAACTGGCTGCCAGGACGCACAGGCAGACACAGGGCAGGGGAACAGGGAGCATCTGCTCCTCCACGCAATGCTCTCTCCGGCTTCCCCCCAACGCCACAGTTTTAATACCAGAATCATTTGGTAGTGTTTGCCACCTGCTGAAAAATCTCAAAGTCAGGTTGCTGTTCTCTCCTCAATCTCCCCTCCCCTATCACTACTCCACAGGCTACTTGGCTTTGTAGAATCATTTTCAAAAATGTTTGTAATGCCTTACTACTGCCTGTTCCATCTGCTCCTCACTCATGGAGGCCTGGCTCTTTCACAAGGCCTGGAAGTCAGGCACACAGTGCCAGGAAAGGTTAAAAATGCAGCTTCCCTCTTTCTCTCTTGCGGTCTTCTCTATCTTTTCATCTATCCTTCTACAGACTACTAAATCCAGGCTTTCCTTTGAATGAAATCAAACTTATAACTAATTCTCCAGTGAGGAGAATAAAAATCAATGGGCCAGCACAACAGTGCTCATACATACATGCTTCGGAACATGTTACCTCTTGTGCGCGCGCACTCACATACACACACACACACACACACACACACACAAACACGGCCGTTCACGATAATGAAAATGACCATAGATGAAAATTTTGCTAAAATTCTGTGAGAACTTATATTTATAAACTTAATTTTTCTTAATAAATGCTCAGCTGAAATTCATGTAAAGACCATCCTTTCTTAAGAGATGGGGAAAGTCAGTACATTCACAACATGAAGAATCCAAGTCATCTGAGTGAATTGAGGTAGGTATGCAGGTAAGTTTCCAAACTGCGGGAACATTTGGCAGGAACACATTTGCTTGCAAGACTGGAACAACTAACAGCCAATAGTGATAGAATGTTTCTGAAATAGAAATGTTTTATTGAAATTAAAAAATCCTGTTTTGTACCATCCTGTTAAAATCCATTATTATTTTGAAGAGATTAGTCACATTATATCATCTTCAGATGCACATATTTTTTGCCTTGGTGGTAATATAAATTTCATAAAAATTGGCCAAGATTACCATTGCTTCTTTGATACAATAAATATTTTAATATTTCATATTTGCAAATATGAAAAATTTAAAGCAAATACCAACAGTTTCAATCAGCAAAAAGGAAGAACCGTCTTTTGTTTCACAGTTGTAGCAAGCACTCCTCCCAGTGGTCTTTCTCAGAATTTATTTACTGCAGTTTCTGAGGCAAGAGGAAAAAGTAAATCAGTAAATCATAATAGCTGATTCAGTTTATCAGTGGGGAATTAAAATTGCATTCTGCTTTTGTGGAATAAAGTGAAAGAATTTAAAAATTACATAAAACAAGTATTGGTAATAGAAAAATTAGATGCACTTTCTGGTTATTATCTACCGTATACCATGCTATTTATTTGAGAAACAAACAATTCTAATTATAGAATGATTCAGATACATAGATGAATATGTTAACATTTTCTAGGTCTACTGTTGATATTTGAGAACTTGCCTATGAAGGTATTTTGCCAGCTAAATGTTAAATATACCTATGTGGTGACTGTGAGTTATTATTTTGTTGAAAATAGCATACTCTGAATACTTTCTCACTGAGAACAACAGATTGTAAAGCTTTTAAAAATAGCTTGTGTCAAATTATAAAATATTAACAAACAACAATGAACTAAATTCTACAATTAAAGAAAGTATTATTTGTGAATTAATTTCTAGTATGTTTACTCTGCAAGAAACAAAGGAGTTTAGCAGAAGATAACATAATTGCAGTTATCGAAATGACACAGACACTATTATGTTTTAAATCTAGTGCCCAGATTCTGTTTAGCTTTTGCCCAGAACTCTATGTGGGAAATTTTCTCCAAATTCCTATTTATAGAATATATGTAAAGTAAAATCCCAAGCAAAATTATTGATCCTAAAATACAAAATTTACTATTACTGTGTTTATGATAACATTGCTGCACTAACCACCTTCCCCTTTTAGTATCTACAAAATGACTCTTGAGCAAAGGTATGCTTAGTTTTTAACATTACTATAAGGTGAACAATCACAAATTTTATAGAACAGTTTATTTTACAAATACTAAAATGAGACATTAAAGCAAAAAGCTGTGTCCCTCCAGTTCACCAAAATGAAATAGAACTTTCACTGGGGTCCATCCAGCACTTCCTTGTGTTTGTTCTCACAAAGAGATGATTACAGTGTATGACATTGCCCCAAATGTTTGTAATATGAGAAGTTGTAAGACACAGTTTTGACTCAAACTGTTTCTGACTGGTAGTTCAAATTGTGCAAATCACTTTTTAAAATAAAGCTTTTTGTGATTAATGTACCTCTATTCTACAATTCAGTGAGCTCATAATATTATTTATTGCCAACTACAACTCTTTAATTATGAGATACTAGTCTGTACATGTAACATATTGGATCCACATATAGTTTACTAAGCATTGCCACTTTGAAACCTGTTGTCTTATTACCACATTCAAAGAACACACTCTTTTTTCCCAGTGTCTGAACAAATTTATGATTTAATTGGTACAGATGGAATGCTAAATGTAAACTAAACAAGCACTGTAAAACATAACACCATCTTATGGTGGTCTTTATACACCAGCCATAATTTACTCAGATGGCTACAGTTAAATATGAAACTGTTAAGAGCAACTCTTACATCCAGACTAATTTTTCACTATGGCAGCAGGACTATGAGTAGATAGAACGACCAACAGCCATGAAAGGAAAATATTCATGATTTACAGGTAACTGTCATACAAAAATCAAGGGTTCATATGGCAGTACAATTAATGGTTGGTTTGTTTATAACAGATTTTACTTTGAAGGCATTACCCACTGTCCTCTGAAAGCATCAGGTGTAATGTGATTCTTAATTCCCGTACATTTCCATCATGCTCTCACTCCCTTCTTTCTCTCCATCTCAGTGATGTTCAAACTTGTGCTGGGAGGCCTTTCCAAAACCCAGATTGCCATCAAACTATAATGAAATATCACCTACATGTGTTAGATGGCTGTCATCAAAAAGACCGGAGATAACATGTTGTTGTCAAGGATGAAGAGAAAAAAGAACCCATGTACACTGTTGGTGGTAATTGAAATTTTGCAGTCACTATTTGGAGAGCATTCCAAGTACGGAGAGTACTTATTGCAACATTATTTGCAATAGCCAAGATACGGAAACAGACTAAGCGTCCATCAACAGATTAATAGATAAAGAAATTGTAGTATATATACACAATGGCATATTATTCAGCCATTTGTGACAGTATGGATGAGGGTGTTATGCTAAGTGCCACTTATGTGTGGAATTAAAATAAAAATCCTCACCCAAACTTAGAAAATAGAAAATAGACACCAGATTTGTGATACAACATGATGACTATAGCTATCACTACTGCTTGGTAATTTGAAAGTTGCTAAGAGAGTAAACCCCAAAAGTTTTCATCACAAGGAAAAAAAATTGTTTTTACTTTTACTTTTTTTGTATCTATATGAGATGATGGCTGTTTCCTGAATTTACACCTATGTGTCAAGCCATTATACTATATTCCTTAAACTTATATTGTACTTTATGTCTATTTGATCATGATAAAACTGAAAGAAAGAAAACAATGCTTTATATCACCATAGTATTTTAGCAAAGGGGAGAAAATGCATATTTTGTTGGGCTCAACCACAAGACTGTTTCTTTTTTTTAATTTAAATTTTATTTTTATATTCCCCATACAATTACAACCCCCTTATTTTGACCCCAATTCCCCCTTTCGCCGCCTTTTCTTCCTTGAGTCTGAGTACAGAAGACACATTTCTGACAAGTGCCAGAAATGTTGACACTCCTGGATCGGACTGCATTTTAAGCTGCACTGCTGTTCCTAAATCTTACCATTATCAGACCCAAGATAAATCCCACATCACAGCAAAGGAGGCGAGAGAGGTGAGTTTAGCTAGCTCTAGAACTGAGGCTAAGTGGTTAAATTGCTTTCAGTCCCGAAAGGGCACAAAAGAAAAAAAAATATTATCTGAACTTTTCTCTCTGAGGCTTGTACTTATAAGTACTTATTTGTATTTACAAAAGCAGTAATAGAAGGTTTTAAGGTTTTAAGCTGAACTCCAAGTTCAGTTGAGAACTGAAATCACAGATGTGATGCACCTGGAAAAAGCTGAATTGTGGCCCACGGCTCCTATTATAAAACAAGTCTTTTCTAATTGATTTGGATGGATCAAAACTTACTTGGTCCCATTGTCACTGTTGTGATAATATGCTTGCTTCTTTAAATCTTTGGCCTTTCTCTCCTGGATTACTTAGTTCTCTTTGACTTCCAAAGGCCAGAGACTGTAAGACTTTCAAATAATTGTATAAAACAATTGGGATTACAACCCTGTGACACTTGCTATATCTCAAGTTAGCTAGGATAAGAGGCTGCTCCTCTCTGCGTCCCCAAACCTCTGCCCCTATTTATCATGAAATAGTTCCAGGATATGGACCTGCACCCATTATCCCTCAAGAATGTGGACCAGAGTGTAGACAAAGGAGAAAATCATTACCAGTAATCTTAAATTCCTCATCCTTGCTCTGTTGGGTTTATCTTTTCTTTTTTTTTTTTTTCTTCACATTATTTATTTATTTATTTTTGTGGGACCCTTGCCGGCTGCCGGGGAACGAACTGGTGCTGCAGAGGCTGCGGGCAGCCTCGCAGCCCCGCGCTCAACCGCTGCGCCACCAGGGGAGGCCCGGGTTTATCTTTTCTTGCAGACAAAATCAGAAATCTGGGGAAGACCAGCTGAAACCATGATGGAGAGAGAAATAAGACAAGAATTAAGCCACAGCCTCATTACCAGAGAGAAATGGATCCCCACCAGTGCCATGACAGATCCAGTCAAGGCCAAACTTGAGAAAAAAGAGGCATAGATGCAGTTTCTAGAGACCTTTGTCTACTTCTTTGAAATCTTGTGGGACCCTGTAGCCTCCCACTCTCACTAATGTAAGTGCAACTATTCACCATTCTAAAGCCTAAACTCAAGAGAAAAGAGTTGGTAAGAGGAAGTCAGGTTTAAGCAGGAGCCTACAACATCTACTTTCAAATTGCAAGGGAAACTTGTATGATTTATTATGAAACAATTACCACAATAACTTAACTTCACTGCTCGTAGTCACAAAATTTGATTCCTTGTGATGAAAACTGTTAAGAGTTACTCTCTTAGCAACTCTAAATATACGTTGTTTACTACAATCACCATGGACATTGCATCCCAGAACTCATTTGTCTCATAACTGGAAGTTTTTACCTTTTAACTTCACTCATCCACTTCCTGCCCAAACCCACACAGATTGGCAAGTACAAATCTGTTTCCTGCTTCTGTTTTTTTGCCCCATATTCTACATATAAGTAAGATCATACAGATTTTTCTTTGTCTGATTTATTTCACTTAATATAACTCTCTTGAGGTCCACATGGCAGGAGTTCTGTTTTTATGACTGAATAATATCCTATTGTTATCAGAACCCAGCCGCCTTAGCAGCAGGGACTGGCAGCAGCAGTGTTCTCTCACCCTGCTGCTCCACTGTGGCCTCTTTTCCACCTAGGGCCTCTGCACCTGTGTGTGCATGGCTTCTCTATGCACCTATGTGTGTGTGAAAGATTTGGATAAGGCACTCCCGCTTGACTGCCCTGAGACAATGGGGCACATCATGAAGTGGCTGGGGACACCTAGGTAACCGTTGATTGATTGTATGGTCAGGGTCCGAGATGGTCTGGGAGTAGCTGGAAAATTATACCATGCACCTGCATGGGAAGTACTCCCTGTACATGCGGCCCACATATCCTCCCTGCTTCCGATAAAATTGATCACCCTTTGATTCCTCTGAAGTCCTGTTCCCCAAAAGATGATTACCTTTTGTTTCTCCTGGACCCTGCTTCTACTGCCATTGTCATATAATCAATCATGCTAGTTCACTATTACTTAATAAATAGCAAGAGGGCTGTTTCCTGGATAGCAGAGTCTTGCCTTGCAAACCTGCTCCACAACTCATCTCTCAAGCATGCCCTCAGGGACTTGCGCGTCTGTTCCCGACCACAAGACTCCACCACAAGTCAGTTGTGGCAGTTGCTCCTCAGAGACCTTTCATGTAACAGTGTACTTCCTGGACCATGGAATGGACCAATCAGGTGTGAGCTATGAGCTGACTGGTGCTAAATGGCCCAATCAGTCACAGGATTGAAAAATGATCCCATCATACTTGTGGGAGGGCACCCTGATAGAGGATACAAGCCAAGGTCAGAGGGAGCTGAGGATGATGAACAGTTCCAGCTTCATAAGAGGAGACATGACTCCAGCCCCCAAACAGAGAGACAGTTCCAGCCTCTGAAGGAAGAAGAAAAGAAGCATCCAACAGCATAAGAAGACAGAAGGAGAGAAGAGAAGTCGAAGACCTCTGTCAGAGATTGGGCTCAGTCTCTGACATTGCCTGAAAGAAGCAATAAAGGCCCTGGGCCTGGTGTCTCAAAGAGCTATTTGTTGTTGGTATAGCCCAACAACTCACAAAGAGCTGTTAACACTGGGTGTCTCTAACACCACCCCTCAGGGACCAGCAGTGGCCATCACTACTGGCCAGTGCTGTCCAGCACTCCTGGTGATCAGTGGTGACCATCACTGATACTGCCTAGGTGAGATGGCTGACCACTTGTGCCTACAGTAAGCTCTTTGTTTCCCCTTTTTTTTTTTTAAATAATAAATTTTATTTTTATATTCCCCCATACAATTGCAAAAGCCCCATTCTGACCCCAATCCCCCCCCTCCCGCCCCCCACCACCCAAAAAGTGTCTCTGGTTCATAGTTTTTTGTTGATTTTGATTTTCACTTTCTTATATTCATTTTCCTGGTCCCTTATTTAAGTTTTCTAGATTCCTGCTATGAGTGAGACCATCCGGTATTTTTCTTTTTCTTTTTGGCTTATTTCGCTGAGCATGATCCCTTCCAACGCCATCCATGTTGCTGCAAATTGCACGTGTTTATCTTTTTTGAATGCTGAGTAATATTCCATGGTGTATATGTACCACATCTTCTTGATCCAGTCATCTATTTTTGGGCATTTGGGCTGTTTCCAAAGCTTAGCTATTGTAAACAGTGCTGCTATAAACATAGGGGTGCGGGTGCTCTTTGGAATGGATGTTTCTGTGTCCATTGGGTAAATACCTAGGAGTGGAATTGCTGGATCATATGGAAGCTCTATGTTTAGTAGGTCCAGAAATCTCCACACAGCTCTCCACAGTGGTTGGACCAGTTTGCACTCCCACCAACAGTGCAGAAGAGTTCCTTTTTCTCCACACCCTCGCCAACATTTGTTGTTGCTAGTTTTTTTAATATGTGCCATTCTCACTGGTGTGAGATGGTATCTCATGGTAGTTTTGATTTGCATTTCCCTGATTACAAGTGATGTTGAACATTTTTTCATATGTCTGTTGGCCATTTGCATTTCCTCTTTGGAGAAGTTCCTTTTTAGCTCTTCTGCCCATTTTTTGACAGGATTATTTTCTTTGTTGTTGCTGAGTCTCATCAGCTCTTTGCAGATTTTTGTGATCAGTCCTTTATCATTAGTGTTGGGTGCAAAAATGTTCTCCCAGTTGGTGGTGTTTGTAAAATAAACCCCATGGTGTTCCTGGAGCCTGAGGTCTCTTGCAATTGTGCACAAGGATGAGAACATACAGAATGTGACCTGTCCTTTTATCGGGCACTGTCCTTTCATTTAGCCCCTATTGTGCAGAAATTGTATTGTTATAGGCTTTGGTTTTGGGTTTTGACCTTTTGGGGCTTTTTGGTGCCTTTCTTGTCTTAGAGCCTGGGCCTCCTGCCCTCCTGTCCCGTTCGCCCCTATTACACTATTGTGTAGGTGTATACCATCTTTTTATATATTTTTTTAACCAAATATGCAAAGTGGTTAGAATTGCTAAGACAGTGATAGGTATGTAATATTTGTTGATTTTTAAAAAAGATTATTGGATATTTGTTATTTTTTTTAAATTGAGTTAGTATTGATTAACATCATTATTTGTGCTTTAGAGATATAGGATCTCCCTCTTCAGGTATTGTTAGTATGCCATCCCCACCACCACAGCACCCACAGACCATCCCCAAAGTCCTTCATGCTCCCTCCTCACTTCGCTCTCCGCCCTTCCCTCCAGCCTCCAATAACCTCAGTTCCATGATCAGCTTTCGAAGGTTTGTTGTTAGCTGACTTTATCTGACCCTTTGCTATTTCTATACTCCATATATAAGTAATGTCATTCAGTACTTTTTTTCTCCTTCTGACCTATTTTGCTTAGCATAATCCCCTCCAGTGCTAGTGAGGATGTGGAGAAAAAGGAACATTTTTACACTGTTGGTGGTAACGTAGACTGATTCAGCCCCTATAGAAAAGAATGTGGAGGTTTCTGTAAATATTAAAAATGGATCTACCATATGATGCAGAATTCTACTTCTAGGTATCTATCCAAGAAATAGAATAGACAAAAACACTAATTAGAAAGGAAACATGCACTCCCACATTCACTGCAGCAGTTTACATAGCTAAACTATGGAAACAACTTAGGTGCTCAAATACAGATGATGAGTGGATTAGGACAGTATACACTCTTTTATTTATCAATTCACCTTTCCACAGACATGTTAAGTTGTTTCCATGTCTTGGCTATTGCAAATAATGCTGCAATGAACATTAGTTGCAGCTATCTCTGTTAGATTCTGATTTCATTTCCTTTGTCTGTATACTGAGAAGAATTGCTGAACGATGTGGTATTTCTATTTTTAATTGTTGAGGAGCCACTTGTTTTTAATTGTTATTAAGCAAGTAAAAATTTGCACATGTAAAGCCCAAAATGCAGAACTAGTCTTACCTATGTCCATCCATCCATCTATCCATCCATTTGTCCATGATTTAATTCAACAGTTACACATTGTGTGCTTCCCAAAGGCCATCATTTCTCTGAGGCCCTGAGAATGTTGTCAGGAGCCTTGCGACCAATTTCTTAACTGTGGTAGCCTCAGTTTCTTCAATTGTAAAATGTGAGTAGTTATGTTAAGAGGGTGCTGCCTACACTCAATCATTAGATATGTTTACTCTTTAAAGAATTCAAGTGTCCAGCTGAGTACCCCAAGTGCTTGGTGTAGGGCATGGAGTGCTGCCAAGACTCATACTGGAAGGATCTCCCTCAGAACTTTCTGGGTGTCTTCTTAAGAGAGTGTGACAATGGAATATTGCTCAGCAATCAAAAAAGATAAACTCACTCAATTTGCAGCAACATGGATGGAACTGGAAGGGATCATGCTCAACGAAATAAGCCAGAAAGAAAAAGAAAAATACTGGATGGTCTCACTGATAGCAGGAATTTAGAAAACCTAAATAAGGGACCAGGAAAAAGACTAGAATAAAATAAAAATCAAAATCAACAAGGAACTATAAACCAGAGACACACTACAGGGAGGAGAGGAGGGAGTAGAATAAAAATGGGGGGTGGTGGGAATTGTGTGGGGATTATAACGAAGATGAAAATGCATACATTGTGCAAAAATGAAAAATGATGTAAAATATATAAAATAAAATTAAAAAAAGAATGTGAGGTTTGGAATTTGGTGGTTGGTTATAGATTCAGAATTCCATACTTACATGGTGAACTTGAACAAATTCTGCCTGTTCAACATTCTTCTTTGAAAAACAGGTATAATAATACCCACAGAGAGACAATGTAAGAGTAAAGACCTCCTGCAGTCATGGAGAATAGGCACTTAGACATCAGGTTATTTTGGAGGAATGTGAAAATCCCTTTTGCCTCCAAGAGTTCCCCCCACTGACCTTAATATGCTTCAAAAGTATGTAATCCTCTCTATTTAGACACTAAAACAGGCTGAGAAATGACTCCAACTATCTGTATGGGGAAGATGTTTGATCAGTTAATCATCAGAAACATAAGAGTTTCCTCATATGTTGTAAGAGATTCCAGAGCACCAAGTCTCCAGAGGTAGGAAGAATGCTGGGTGTTCTGAATGTGCCCTGGGGATGGAGAGGACAGGGCCAGGCTGGGACTTGGTCACCTCAAGGAAGCCTGGACCAGGGTCACCTCAAAGCTCTGCGAATGGACACTAAGGACCCAAACTGCTGAGAAAGAGAGAGGAGCTCTGCAAGGGATATTGGCCTGGTGCTCTTTATGCTGAGGGCACTGGCACACAACAAGGAGGCAGCACAACAAGGAGGACCACTCTGAGGTAAGACCATGGGATGATATAAGACTGATGATGCTAGAGAGAGGCCAGAGAAAGATTGCAAAGATTTGCAGAGGCCAGCAAATTAGCAAACCATGTCATCATTATTCAGGTAAGTCACTTAGAGCCTTAAGCTTGCTTTTTTCCAAAAAGAGGTAGGGATGATCATTGCTAATGGAATAGAACCTGAATTTTAATGATTGAGAGTTCTTATTAAAAAAAAAAAAAAGAAAAAATCAGCTTAAAAGGTAGTCTGATTAGTAGTCCTCGACCTTTATAGAACCAGCAGAATTAGCAGAGGTTCCATAGAAGGTTCAGTATATAGTGGCCTGTATTGAGAGGGTTCTATGGTCAATACAAGTTGCAACTCGTTAAGTGCACTGTTCTTTTGATAGTACATATTGGAACATTAAAAGCACTAAGAAGTCCTGTAGTGAATAAATTTGCTTAACTCTATTTAAGTTGGTGTTTTCCAAATCCATAATCCACTTAGCCATATCCCAGAATCTGAGAAACATGACTAGATGCCAGCATTCTGCTCGCACATGTTGGAGTCTGCCATAGTGGACCCTTCTTTTGCAAGTATGCACAGGGCAGGTTAACTTCCAGTTCTAGCACATGAAAAGATAATTTTTACAGGCCTTTAATGTTCTCTCAGGGAACTAGGTTCACAGGCACATGGGGCAGGGAGGCTGGCATGCAAGGAGGCAAGCACAGGCAGTGCAGACAGTGGTGCTGGCCCCTGCAAATCTTTGCAATCTTTCTCTAGCCTCTCTCTAGCGTCATATCTTTCTCTAGCCTCTCTCTAGCGTCATCAGTCTTGTATCATCCCAGGTCTTGCCTCAGAGTGGTCCTCCTTGTTGTGCTGCCTTTATCTTTCACCTCTTGGCACAGGTGTGAACACTTACATATGTGCACACCTGTGCTCTCTAGCCCGGATGTCCATAATTACAGGCATGCCCCTCAGACCCAGGCATCTACTCTAGCAGCTGGGGGGCTGGAAAAAAGCCTGATATATTCATTTACCCTAAACCATGTAGCCTAGAGTAGGCACCAAAGCCTTGGACTTGCCTTGCCATCAGAAATATGGATTCACTCATTCATTCAATCAATTTATGTAGAGGGCCTATTTTACGTCAAACATTGTTCTAGGCATTAGAAATGTGTCTGACAGCACGCAAAATTGTTGCTGTCTCAAGTTTCCATTGCAATGAAGAAGCAGATGGCAAAAGTGCCAATGTCCAAAAAAGCAGGGAGTGATTCTTGACTCTGAAGAGAAAGGAAACTCAATCATGGAAGGCGTTCTTCTCTACTGGTTGGAGAAAACCCACTGGTATTAGGTGGGAGTTAAGCAGAGTGGGCCAGGAGTGAGTCAGGAAGATGTGTGGGGAGGAGACTTCCAGGTAGAGGGGAGTGAAGTGTCACCTCTCCTGCTTTAGGAATAATCAGGAAGGAAGTGACTGAGCTGGAGAAAGTAAAACTGGTGGCTGAAGCCAAAGACTGTTACAAATGGTGCCCCTTGGATGGGGGTGCTGGTGAGGATGATCATCCCAGGGGAAATGTGGAAAGAAGTGTTGGTGGGAGAGTCTCTGATAAGATATATAAGGGACTGCAAAAGCAGCCCCAGGATTTCAGTGTTTGGGATTTCAGATCTTCAGCGATTCTGGGGGCGGCCATTTCTGGCCCCACAATGCTGATCTTCCAGAAGGCTGTTGATGGCCTCTGGGGGACATGGGGAGGCTTCCAGCAGCTAACCTTGGAGAAGAAAAGTTCAGAGACTTTGCAGGTAGCCAAGTGACTGAAACTGTTCCCAGTTTGGCTGCGGTTATGTCCTGAAAAGGAAGGCGAAGACCTGGAGTCAGGTGCTTCGTTGAGGTACATAAATGTGGCTATATATTGGGTCATTCAGCCACTGCAGCTGCTGTTTTGAGTGTCGCTTGTCTGGTGCTGTGCTGGGGCATCTTGGCAGCTCCATGAGCATCTCCTATTGTGTCTTCTGTTGTCTTTATGAGTTGGATCCCAGCCTATAGTCTGGCTTCCACATGCTCTAGGTCCTCAGTGGCAGGAAGATGCCATCTTGGGATCCTTTGTGTTTAGGACTTTAAAACACTGGACACTGTTTCAGGTGAGGTAAATGGCCACTTGTGGCTTCAGAAACTCTTTGCTTTCCCTGGTTTGTTAAGTAAATCCCATTATTTTTCTCTGAACTCTTGCAATTGTGTGTGTGAGTGAAGAACTCAGATGGTGACCGGCAAACTATATGGGCAGTGTCCTTGGGCAGTTTTATTGCCCCTTGCTGCCCTGTATCAGAAGGACTGGAGGAAGTTAGCTAGAGGTCAGGGACAAGACTCAGACAGAGCCTTGATGGTCCTGGTCCCGAGTGGATCTGAAGGGTATGTGAAGCGCGGGTGCTGGAGATGCAAGGTAGACAGCACAGAGGTCAGCGCGCAACCAGCCATGGTCAGGAGGCTCTGCTCTAACCCAGGCAAAAGGCCATGGAGGCTGAGATCATCATAATGGATATGGTGAAAAGGAATTGAATTCTACAGCGTTTCTAAGGTAAACCGAGAGTTTTCTGATTCTTTAGGTGTGGAATCAAGATCATGGGTGTTATTATCTACATGAGGCTTGATGAGCAAACAGATGATGTGAATTAGCTGGTTTCTCAGGACCGCCCTGGATTCCTCAGATATTAACCGAAGCTTCTCCAACTACCCTCCCTCCTCAGTGAAACGAAGCTCAAAATAACAGCGCCGGAAGAGATTAGACAGTGCAAGTCCAGGACCTACCAGGGCTCAGCGTCCATAACCTTTTATTATCCATAGTTTTTAGAAATGAAAATAACTGCTTCTTAAATAATTAACCACAATTTTAAAACAAGCATGTCAAGCAAATACATATAATCAAAGAACGGGAGATTGGGAAAAGGAAAAAGTTTGGTTTTTTAAAACTTAAGTTTATTCTATGAAACGAGAATAAGGATGCTCAAGGAGCTGAGAGAAAGTGGGGAGGGCACCCACATTAACACATCCAGTGAAACTTGTTGGAGTCTGTGAGCAAATGGGCAGCACCAGGTGTGCATAATTAATCTTTTGTTCCAGTTCCTGAGTCCAGCGCAGGAGTCAGCTCTTTAGAAACACTCACTGACTGTGGAAGCTGTGGCGGCCAGGTGCCCTCAGTCTGAAGTAATTAAAAATCCCTCACTCGGCAGCAGAAACCCCCTCCTTGAAAAACAATGGCAAGCTGTTAGAAAAGAAATGCTAGGAAAGGGAAATAAAGCATCTTAGCGAGGTAGGTTTTTCAGTTTTTATGAATACATAAGTTACATCCTATGATGACAGAACCTCTTTTGCCTGGTGCGGTGGTGGGTGGCCAGTTCTCCTGAGAGGCAGCACCAGGCCGCGGAGCGCAGGGCGGAAGGCAGGGGGCAAGCGGGAGGCACCTCACCCGGAGGAAGACGCGCCTCTGCGGCCGCCATTTACGCTGCACGAGTGTGTGGGCACACGCACTGCTTGGCAATCTTTCTTGGACAATGAGGTTTTACAAGTCTGGCAAACATTCAGATGTGAACTTTACCTAAGTAAATAAAGCCATCTGTCCAGTCCAAAGTTTTCTTTTGTTGGGTATTGAAGTGGCTTCCTAGGAAAATGGCCAAGTGTTCAATTGTTCCAGGAGAAACAAGAAATACTGCTTTCTTTTCCTTTTTTTTTTTAACTTTAAGGAAAAGAACCACTTTAAAAATGGAAGAGTAATGGAAATCTACAAAACTAAATTTCAACAGAGTGAAAATTATTATTTTAAAGGAAAATGTTTGGACTTTTTTTTTTTTAATTTCTTGAGTTTTTAAAGTGTGATGCAACCAAAAGTAACGATGAAAAATAATTTGTTATCAGATATGTACAGAGTAGCCATGCTATATATAACTTATCACTCTAAAACTTTACAAGTCAGTAGAACTACACTTAACATGTCTATGGTAATTTGCTGCATTTTACATCAAAAATTTAAAATTCCTCTCCTTGAAATAATGCATTTTAAGATTATTTGTCAACTTGTGAAGTGACTGACTTTATTTTTCAACAATCTTTATTTTTATAATTACCACATCACCACCATCGAGAGTGTGTATCATTATAGATTTAGTAAGACCATAAATCAAATGTAGGAAACTGTGGTAAACTACTCAAATGAAAAGCAAGACAGTTTTCATTTTCAAATTGAAATAGTTTTCCATAAATTTGAATTCAAAATTAAAAGGAACTTTTTTTTTTTAACTCAGGAATATTCAAGCTTCAACGTGGTTACTAAACTAATTCCCTTTGGAAATTAACTGATGTTGATAATACAAGTCTTGAAATAAAATGACAAAAATTATTATCAACAAAAGTACTTTTGAAAAGATTAAGGTATAGTTTGTTGGATTTAGATATTAGGTATCTAACATCTTTATCAAATGAAAGTGACAAATAGACCATTTGGTAATTTGTCTAAAATTTAAATTTTGTCAGTTTGGACAAAGAAAGAAAATACTCACTTGAAAAGAAAAACTATCAAAAAAAAAAAACTATCAAAAAAGAAAAACTACTGAGAAAGGTGTTTTTTGATGAATCAAACACATCTAGAAATCTTCCACATAGAAAACTTTAGTCTGTTAATTATTTTATATGCTGGATTTGATGCAGAAGTATTTGGACAGAATGCTACCTGGTCAAAAAAAAACATGTGTGTATGTGTGTGTGTGTGTATGTGTGTGTGTGTGTATAACTTATGTCCTTTAACAAATTACTGCTTATGCATCTTTCTTGATTGCAATGCTTTATAGAGAATTGGGGAATTTGAAAGAAATAAATATTACAGTGAGATAAATCGGCTTTGTGCCTTAGGAAATCGATATCACCTTACTACACATAATCATTGAAAGACAATACTTGTAAGAGATATTGTAGTGTCATAGCCTTGGGTATTATTCAGAAGTGACACAATAGATACTATTAAAGAAAAATTAAACATTAGAAGGATCATTTTGAATCCATTCATTATCAATTTTTAAAAAGCCATTCATAAATTTTGACTCTCTAATAGTAACAAATTATTTGATGTGACGGATTTGTATGTTCAAATGGATTTTAATATATTAACATATCTGGATTTTATGGTTAAGAACCATTAATTTAGACAAGTCATTTATTCTTTATTTGCCTGTTTCCCTTTCTGTATAGTGAGTTTCTTTCTTTCTTTTTTTTTTTTCAGTGTGTGAAAGAGGAGATTTCACTACTGCCTATGAGGGACTCACTATTGAATGTTGATTATTGAATATTCTTCTGTTTGCCATCTGGATTTTCAGCTGCAATTTGGACTGTTTTTATTTTTTTGCTCAGATAATATTCATGTAAGAATGATAAAGAGTGTGCTTATGGACTAAAATAACTGAAATATTCTTGAAGATCACCTGGTATATCCATCTCTCTCTAGTTTACATTTTATAACCTGTTCAGAAGTAGTCTGTTTACCTTAGGGGTTTCCATCACTTTGCTTTATTTACTCCATTATTTTAAAGACAAAACAAATGTTTTACATATGTATTAAGCACATTTATCTCTTTTATAAGGCATTTACAAACTATGAATAATGTGTTTCCTGTTTTCAAAGGCACACATAGAAGAAAGTCTGAAAGCATTGGAAAGGGTGACCTGCGAGCACATTGTGTCCAGAGATGGGGGCTGAGGGTGGGGTGCAGCTAGGAGGGGATGGAGATGGATGGGTGGGATAATTTATAGTGAAAGATGCGCCTAGGAATGTGAACTGGATAGCCTTATGGAATGGATTTACCATATGTTTAAAAAATGTGGATCTTACTGTATAGGTGAGTAACTTGCTTTGATAGTTATTACCTCTAGCAGCAGGAGGGATAAATGTGAAGGGGCTAGCAGGTTAATTAACAGATTCTTGAAAAGTTTAACCAAGAGATTATGAATACTTGAGAATGGAGAGGAGGAAACAAATTTGAGAGAAATTTATTTAATGGATGAAATTTTTGGGATTTGATGATCAGTAAAAGAAGAATTGGATCGTTTGGGAGTTTATCCTGGACACATGATGATGTCATCAACTACAACAGGTAAAATGGGAACTCTGGGATGAGGGTGGCACATTCATGTGAAAATCATCAAAAAGTACATTCATTATCATACCTCATATAGAAGTTTTAAGTACTACAAGTCAGAAGCAATGGGGCTTAACAACCTTATCCAAGTTGCAGTTAACACTGAACCACTTCCTCCATCGTATTTCACTTCTTCATCTAGATGAGCAGTTTAAAAATCTTGAAACTCTGTCTGCCTCATGGATAGAAATTTGAGTCAGGTCCTGCAAGAGTAATTAACCTATACAGCAGCTTTTACTGACAAAATGCAAATAATCTTTATCTTGTCTATTATTGGATAGAATTTGTTCAACTTTTAGTATTTATGCCCGTTAAATCACATTGAGAGCGTTATTCTAAAAGTTGTTTCTAAGTTTAATACATGGAGGTTTTATATAGGCAGCCAAATAGTCTACACTGTGTTCTGAAATAATTATGAAGTGAGACTTGACATTCATGTGAGATCATCCATTTTACAGTTACCTTGAGCTTCCCCTGCAGGCCTTCTCTCGGGGAGGAGACAATATTGAGATTCCATCATCTTTTAACAATTTGGGAAGTGCATAAAATTGATTTTATTTCATTAGCTAAGCAAGTTAATGGTTATTTTATCACATATCAAAAAACTCCTGCAGCACAGTAGATCAGATATATTACTTCATGTTTAACTTGCTTGCATTAATTTAGTGTTGCTAATTTTTACATTTAATTGAAAACTTTCAAAAATTGAAAACTTTCAAAATGTCTCTATCAAAGTAGTCATTATCTAGAATTTTCTTGAGCTAAATAAAAGAATAATGAAAGTTCATTTTGACTATTGCATTTAATATTAATTTTCTTGCTTGTCATGGAATTCTCATTTCTAACCATGTAGCTGAAAGGAGAACTTTGTTCATGCATGTAAACCAATGCAAAGTTGCTCATGCAAATAAATGTTTTTGAAATGGCTAGTATATTATTCTGACTGATTTGAATGCTATTTTGGATTTTTTTCCTGTTTTGTTTCATTAATGCCCTGGGTTTCAAGTAGATTAGCAACAGTCAAATACATTTAAAGATTTTTTTTCCCCTTGACTCAAAATTAACCAGTTCACTGAAAAATTCTTATTTGATAGATAATTCTAAGGTAATTCAAGTAGCATGTAGAAATTCAAGTCAAGTTTCAGAATTCATAAAATGTCTATGCACTCATTTGAATCTTTGCCAAAAAAATGCTGTAAAAGATGATCTTCATGTTCGGTTACTTTTCTACTTTGTTATTGTTACTGGGAACAGAGATAAGGTTTTTTTTTTTTTTTTTTTTTTTTTTAAGAAAGAGACTAACCAAGATGTTTTGAAAGAGAGCTCTATCTTTTTATGATTGTTCACTTTATTTCTATAGCAACAGGATGCTGGAGTTTGTTTTTCAAATATATTTGGTTACAGGTATTAATACTATTCAGAGCTAGTACCAAACTGCTAGTACCATGAACACCTGTTCTGATCTTTAATGATAATAACTTTCTATTTCTACTCCACTAATAGGAAAATATCAAATTATAAATAAGTAGAGGAAAATATGGTAAATAAATCTTGCTTCTGGTTCAAAGGTGAATGACTACATGATCAAAACCAATGATTCATCTTTTTCTATTATCATTTTCCTAAGAATTATATATTTTAATATTATAAACTTGTTCAACATTGACAACTATTTCCAATATCATAGAATATAATGAGAAGATACCGGACTAAAAGTCTATGGTTTGGCTTTTAAGGAACTTCCACTTTATTTGGTTGCTGTTATCATATTCAAATCAGAATATCAAAGAACTGTTTCTGAAAAATAAATTTAACATAGTTTTCATTATCTTTCTGGAAGAAGTATTAGATTTTTTAACATAACTGATTAATAAATTCCATTACAGATGCCAATAAATATTTGCCCTTTAGTGCCATCATTTACGCTTACAGTTGGGACCGAATTTAAAAAAAACAAAATACTGTGCTTAAAAAAACAAAAGGTAAAAGAAGACTCATCTTTAGCATTTTCCCCCTAAGAAACCCCTTGTACATTTTTATAAACTTGGGTTATAGCTAATATTGATTATTTTAAAAGCTAATTTATGAGCAAGAATAAGTCTGAAGCTTGTATATAACAAAATAACTTTTTAAGATTTTATATTCTCAATTATTCAATTAACTATATAACAGTATTGGTCCTCTTTTTTAAGATGAGAGAGCAGGGGTTTCTCTTTTTATTCAAAACTTGTCCAACTAGTTTGAGAAATACCAATACCAGAGACTGGTTATAATAATTGGGTATGGGTTTTATTTGTTTTTGATTTTACGTTTCCATGAATATAAACTTCTAAAAGTAGATTTTTCTTACCTAGTTCATTTAGGTCCCAGATATATAGTCAGTAATATGTGTGTGGAATGTACTAGTACATTCTTTAATAGTAGTTAAATAATTAAAGGTAATGAAAATACTTTGTGGCACCAAACACTGCTTTATAAATGAGTCATTTCCTATATTTTCCTCATGGGCTCTACCAGCTCCTTCTCCCCCCTCCCCTCCTCCCCCCCTCTTCCCCTCTACCCTCTCTAAAATTCTACTCTGGGCTGGAGACACTTGGGTACAGGGGTTCTTAATAACATTTCACCTCTTGAATTTTCCTCTACTGTTTACACTATTGAATCATAATTTGATGAATTAGGTGAAACTAATGGCAAAGATATCAAAGAGCAGTTAAAATAGTCACCTCTATAACAGTTGATTCTAATATTTGTAGTAATTAAAAGAAATAGTCACAGAAAAGAAATTCGACTTTTCACCAAAATATGTTATTTAATTTCTGGTTAAGCCTTACACAAAGAGAACTAAATGCAAACCAACTGCTTATAATGAATAAATCTCTGTACATTAGCATGAAAGTTTTGAATATGAACAAACAAGGAAAAAGGAGAAGTTGCTGCAGGACCCAAGTTGGAGTCACATGGTTTCAAAGTTTGTGGAAAGTTTTTTCCCTTTTTTTTTTTTTGTTTGTGTGTATGTGTGTTCTGTATATGTGTCAAGATTTCAGATGTAAGTTCTTCAAAGCTGTCAGACTACATCTCTTCTGTTGGTTTGGAGCTGATTTTCGACCTTCTTTAACAGGTAAGATTTAAAACAATTTAAAGAAATTATAGACTGACTTTTTTTTATTCAGAATTCAAATGGATGTGTTGCTGTGGTTTCATTGCTAAGAATTCTCCTTTATCTGCCTTTCACTTTCTTTTTAACACTAATTGATTGGGACAGTTAAAAGTTTTACTACCTGTATAAAAAATGATCTTCCTTATTAATGAAGATTAATTATGTTTGATTGGGGAGACTGTTTTATTTTTGACTTTTTTAAGGGAACTGAATATACACTACCTTGTCAAAAGCCTCGGTAATATTTACACTTGTTAACTAAAGATAGATAGAAATTGCTAGATGTGTCCATGAAAGCAGGTATTCCTGCTGAAATACCCCAAGAGGGAAGGGAATGGGAGAGTATTCCCCAAATTTTTCTACTTTTAAAATTATATAGTATATATTTTTTCTAAACCCCAGTGAGTCATACCACTCTCATGGAACTCCTCTGTTACTCATTGCCACAGCTGCCACAAGGCTTCCTGAAACCTCAGCATGCCACCTCCAGCTGTCCTCCCGGGAGCCTCCTGGGAGGCTTAAGTTCTTCCTTCAATACTTGCATGAAATTAACAAAAATGATTTTCCTGGTTGTACATTTCTTCACTTATGTTCTTGGAATCATCACATATATTTCATGGATTTGTGTTCTGGTGCTTTATCTAAATTTAAGAAACTCATGGGATAAATATTGTTTTCTTTAATATTTTTCCCTTCTTTACCTATCTTGAAATGATGTAGTGTTGCATGGATAACACATGTTCAAAGCATTATTACTAAATGAATGGTATTAAGTGTTTCCATTTGTAAAAAATAATTGTTTACTGTACAAAAGTTCTCTGATGTTATAAATTCTATTAATTTCTTGATTCTGATGGTATAATATGTACCATGATCCATGTATGGTTTGTAACAAAAATATCTTCTGTCTTCTACAGAAGAAGTTATTTTTCCCTTAAAAATAACCCACAAAACTAATTGGTAAATACTGAAGTGTGATCATTAGCAACCACAATAAGCAAATCTACTCTCTCTTTGTCATAGAGATAGAGATAGATGGGTTTTGAATGTTTGCACGTTTGTGCCGACATTTATTTGGTTAGAGTCTGATGAGTCATCAAAAAGTCATATTTCATTAATATATGTGCCTCCTGATTGGGAAGAAATTCTAAAATATTCTTTGCTAAAACATTCATTCCTTCTTTAAAATAAGGCCTTTATTTGTGTAATCGTAGTTACTTCAAAGTACATGAAATTTATCTTTATGGTTATAAAACAAAATATAGGAGCTAATTTGTGTTAAAAACAGCAATCTCAATTAAAAATAGATATGGTTAAAATGGGATGTTATTAGAACATGTAAGAACTTTAGAGCCCACGATTGGAACCATTTTAAAGAAAAGCACTGACAATTCAAATTGTTTAATATAAAGTCTTGGTTTCTGTTTGACCTCACAGATGAGGCCTGCTCCTAGGAAAGATAAAAGATACCTTCTACCTGGGCCATGAGAAGGATAGGAGTAGAGGTAGATTGGGCCTCCCTGACGGCACAAGGAGTTGAGCACAGCACTGTGAAGCTATCTGCAGTCTCTGCAGCATGAGTTTGATTGAGTTAGCCCGCTGCTCCTATTGGCAGTGTATTTCAGTCAGTCTGCCTATTCTGGTTCCCCACTCTGTCTCTGGTGAATCCTCTCACACACCCCCTCCCCCCATCCCGCACCTCTGGCCTGTCTCCTAGTTCTTGTATGCATAAATAAATAAATCTTAAAAAAAAAAGAGATTAATATCTATGCTTTGCAGTTTGTCTGTTCTTAGACTCTTATCAGAAATTTGACAAAGAGTGTCTCCCTATTGGCCGAAGGGGTTAAGACACAACCTCTGAAGCTATCCACAGCCACTGCAGAACGAGTTCAATCCCCAGTGAGGGAGCTGACCCATCTGGCACAGCAGACCTCCCCTGTCTTGCCTGCTGCTCCCCTCAGCAGTGTATTTCAGTTAGTTTGCCTGTTTTTCTCTCTGCTCTGTCTCTGGTGACT